ACTAATTATCAAGGAAATGCATATCAAAACCACAGTGAGGCTTGTCATGGTGGCACATGCCTATAATCCCAGCTACTTGGGAGGCAGGACCTCATGTCAACCCATAAGCCAGGTGTGGTGGTCTGAGCCTGTAATACAAGCTACATGGGAAAAGTAAAGACAAAAAACATGCAAACAGCTGGAAACAGAATAACTCATTGCTTAATGAACAATGGGTCACTGATGAAATAAAAGAAGAAATTAAAAAGTTCCTGGAAGTCAATGAAAATGAAAACACAACCTACCAGAATGTATGGGACACAGCACAGGCAGTCCTGAGAGGAAAGTTTATAGCCATGAGTGCATACATTAAAAAGACTGAAAGATCCCAAATCAATGACCTAATGATACATCTCAAACTCCTAGAAAAACAAGAACAAGCAAATTCCAAAACAAATAGGAGAGAAATAATAAAAATAAGAGCTGAAATCAATGAAATAGAAACCAAAAAACCATACAGAGAATTAATGAAACAAAAAGTTGGTTCTTTGAAAAAATAAACAAGATCGACAGACCCCTGGCAAACCTGACTCAAATGAGAAGAGAAAAAAACCCAAATTAGTAGAATCAGGAATGCAAAAGGGGAGATAACAACAAACACCATGGATGTCCAGGAAATCATCAGAGACTACATTGAGAACCTATATTCAAATAAATTAGAAAATCTTAAAGAAATGGACAGATTTCTAGATACATATGATCATACAAAACTGTATGAAGAGGACATTAATCACCTGAATAGATCTATAACACAAAATGAAATTGAAGCAGCAATCAAGAGTCTCCCCAAAAAGAAAAGTCCAGGACCTGATGGATTCTCTGCTGAATTCTATCAGACCTTTAAAGAAGAACTGATACCAACCCTCCTTAAACTGTTCCACAAAATAGAAAGGGAAGGAAAACTGCCTAACACATTTTATGAAGCCAGTATTACACTAATCCCAAAACCAGGCAAAGACACCTCCAAAAAGGAGAACTATAGGCCAATCTCCTTAATGAACATTGATGCAAAAATCCTCAACAAAATAATGGCAAACCAAATTCAACAACACATCAAAAAGATCATTCACCACGACCAAGTAGGCTTCATCCCAGGAATGCAGGGGTGGTTCAACATACAAAAATCAATAAACATAATAAACCACATTAACAGAAGCAAAGACAAAAACCACTTGATCATCTCAATAGATGCAGAAAAAGCCTTTGATAAGATCCAACACCATTTCATGATAAAGCTCTAAGAAAACTAGGAATAGAAGGAAAGTACCTCAACATTATAAAAGCTATATATGACAAACCTACAGCCAGCATTATACTTAATGGAGAAAAACTGAAACCATTCCCTCTAAAATCAGGAACTAGACAAGGATGCCCACTATCTCCACTCCTATTCAACATAGTACTGGAATTCCTAGCCAGAGCAATTAGGCAAGAAGAAGGAATAAAAGGAATACAAATAGGTAAAGAAACTGTCAAAATATCCCTATTTGCAGATGACATGATCCTATACCTTAAAGACCCAAAAAACTCTACTCAAAGCTCCTAGACACCATCAATAGCTATAGCAAGGTAGCAGGATATAAAATCAACATAGAAAAATCATTAGCATTTCTATACACTAATAATGAACAAACTGAAAAGAATATATGAAAACAATTCCATTTACAATAGCCTCAAAAAAAATCAAATACCTAGGTGTAAACCTAACAAAGATGTGAAAGACCTCTACAAGGAAAACTATAAACTTCTGAAGAAAGAGATTGAGGAAGACTATAGAAAGTGGAGAGATCTCCCATGCTCATGGATTGGTAGAATCAACATAGTAAAAATGTCTATACTCCCAAAAGTAATCTACATGTTTAATGCAATTCCCATCAAAATTCCAATGACATTCATTAAAGAGATTGAAAAATCTACTGTTAAATTTATATGGAAACACAAGAGGCCACGAATAGCCAAGGCAATACTCAGTCAAAAGAACAATGCTGGAGGTATCACGATACCTGACTTCAAACTATATTACAAAGCAATAAAATAAAACAGCATGGTACTGGCACAAAAACAGACATGAAGACCAGTGGAACAGAATAGAGGACCAGATATGAAGCCACACAACTATAACCAACTTGTCTTTGACAAAGGGCTAAAAATATATGATGGAGAAAAGCAGCCTCTTCAACAAAAACTGCTGGGAAAACTGGTTAGCAGTCTGCAAAAAACTGAAACTAGATCCATGTATATCACCCTATACCAATATTAACTCAAAATGGATCAAGGATCTTAATATCAGACCCAAACTCTAAAGTTGATACAGGAAAGAGTAGGAAATACTCTGGATTATAGGTATAGGAAGAACTTTCTCAATGGAACCCCAGCAGCACAGCAACTAAGAGATAGCATAGATAAATGGGACTTCATAAAACTAAAAAGCTTCTGCTCAACAAAAGAAATGGTCTCTAAACTGAAGAGAACACCCACAGAGTGGGAGAAAATATTTGCCAGCTACACATCAGACAAAGGACTGATAACCAGAATATATAGGGAACTTAAAAAACTAAATTCTCCCAAAACTAATGAACCAATAAAGAAATGGGCAAGTGAACTAAACAGAACTTTCTCAAAAGAAGAAATTCAAATGGCCAAAAACACATGAAAAAATGCTCACCATCTCTAGCAATAAAGGAAATGCAAATTAAAACCACACTAAGATTCCACCTCACCCCTGTTAGAATAGCCATCATTAGCAACACCACCAACAACAGGTGTTGGCGAGGATGCGGGGAAAAAGGAACCCTCTTACACTGTTGGTGGGAATGTAAACTAGTACAACCACTCTGGAAAAAAATTTGGAGGCTACTTAAAAAGCTAAACATTGATCTACCATTTGATCCAGCAATACCACTCTTGGGGATATACCCAAAAGACTGTGACACAGGTTACTCCAGAGGCACCTGCACACCCATGTTTATTGCAGCACTATTCACAATAGCCAAGTTATGGAAACAGCCAAGATGCCCCACCACTGACGAATGGATTAAGAAAATGTGGTATTATACACAATGGAATTTTATGCAGCCATGAAGAAGAATGAAATGTTATCATTCGCTGGTAAATGGATGGAATTGGAGAACATCATTCTGAGTGAGGTTAGCCTGGCCCAAAAGACCAAAAATCGTATGTTCTCCCTCATATGTGGACATTAGATCAAGGGCAAACACAACAAGGGGATTGGACTTTGATCACATCATAAAAGCGAGAGCACACAAGGGAGGTGAGGATAGGTAAGACACCTAAAAAACTAGATAGCATTTGTTGCCCTCAACGCAGAGAAACTAAAGCAGATACCTTAAAGCAACTGAGGCCAATAGGAGAAGGGGACCAGGAACTAGAGAAAAGGTTAGATCAAAAAGAATTAACCTAGAAGGTAACACACATGCACAGGAAATTAATGCAAGTCAACTCCCTGTATAGCTATCCTTATCTCAACTAGCAAAAACCCTTGTTCCTTCCTATTATTGCTTATACTCTCTCTTCAACAAAATTAGAGATAAGGGGAAAATAGTTTCTGCCTGGTAGCGAGGGGTAGGTGGGGAGAGGGAGGGGGCAGGGGGGTTAGAGAGGGGGTTGGGGAAGGGGGAGAAATGACCCAAACATTGTATGCACATATGAATAAAATAAAAAATTAAAAAAAAAAGCTACATGGGAGGCATAGGTAGGAGATTGCAGTCCGAAGTTCTCCCTGAACAAAAATTCAAGACCTCATCTGAAAACTATATGAAAATGGGTCAAATGATTCAGTGCCTGGCTAGGAAATGTGAGACCCAAGTTAAACCCCGGTACCACAAAAAAAAAAAGGAAATGCCACAATAAGATAGCACTGTATCCACATTAGAATGCTATCACCAAATAGATAAAAAAAAAAAACAAAAACAAAAAACAAACACTGGTGTGGATGTGGGAAAAGGGGAAATTTTATACACTGTTGGTGGGAATGTAAATTAATATAGCCATTATGGAAAATAATATGGAGGTTCCTGAAAAACTATAAATAGGACTAGTAATAGGTTCTAGTAATAGCCGCAGGTAATGAATATGCTACATATTCATTAAATTTAAAGCTACTTGTGCACTCCCATGTTTATTGCACACTATTCACAATAGCCAAGATATGGAATGTGGTACATGTACAAAATAGAATATTATTTTAGCCATAAAAATAAAATCCTGAGGGTGAATATGGTGAAAATTTTATGTACTCATGTATGAAAATGGAAAAATGAGACCTGTTGAAACTATTCCAGGAATGGCGGGGGGGAGACAAAGGAGAATGATGGAGGGGGTGAATTCAACTATAAAATATTGTAAGAATTTTTGTTAATGTCATAATGTACTACCAGTACAACAATAATATGATAATAAAAAAAATGAAATCCCATCTCTGGTGGCAATATGGATAGACCTAGAAAACATTTTGTTAAGTGAAATAAGCCAGGATAGAAAGACAACTATCCCATGTTCTTACTCATATATGAGATCAAAAATATAAAAAACAGAACAGTGGTTACCAGAGGCTGATGAGGAAAATGGGGAGAGGAGGATAGAGATGGGTTGGTTAATGGGCACAAAAATATAGTTATGTAGGATTAAGTTCTAGCACAGTAGGATGACTATAATTAACAATAATTGATTATAATTTCAGAATAACTAGAAGAGACAATTTTTTATGTTCTCCACGTAAAGAAATGATAAGTGTTTGAGGTGATGGATATGCCAGTTACCTGATTGCATCATTATACACTGGACACTTTGTTCTCCACAGATATGTGCTATTATTGTGTATGAATTAAAAATAATAAAATAAAAATAGATATAACCAAGATATGATTCTCAGGATATAAGTAAATGCAGTCATGCTATCTTTGGATGGGAAATCTAACTCTGTGTTATGTGTTCGTTTGCAGGTCTTGTTAACTGGATTGATTAGCTTCTCTGTAGCATTTGTCCTGATTGGATATGTGGTTCTGAAATTTAATGCAGCCCAGTGGGATGTGCAATCTTGCTTGCTCTTTAGCATCACCCTTGGCATTATAGATCCAGTTCACTCAGTGAAGTCACTGAAGACCATTGGTATGTCAGAGTTGTTTGTCTTACCTTGAAGGTATGGGGATGGGTTGTTCTCTTTTGATGATATTTTTCTTACAGGAATTGTAAATCCAGCAGAGTGGGATTTGTGCTTTTTTTCCCCTTGAGAATAGAGCACTGATTAACTTGAAGGAGGTAGTGCAGATAAGACAATCACTGAGGATCTGGGATAAATTGCATCGATTATAATCATAAAGAATGTTTTCAAGAGGAAAATGTTACCTTTCTTGAGGGTGACAAAAATTGGCATTTGTATTCTATATCACTCAATGTGAAGCTACAGGGTAGAGATTCTAAGTTTTGGTGACTTTGTTTACCAATACAGAGAGAAAGCAAAGATCCCAAATGAAATTTTTCCAAAGCCTTGCAAACTTTCCTTAGAACTGCCTGCATTTTGAAAGATCTAAGGCTGGGCAAGTGGTGGAGGGGTAGTAGTTTATTTCCAAGAAAAGGGGTAAGGAGATAGTCTGGTACTCTATCTATATTCGATAAATGCTAATTCCCAAGAGGATTTGAGGTCTTGTACCATTTCCCTTCTTATTTGGTAGGGTAAAAAGTGATTTTGCCCTGAAATATCCCCCTATTGTCATGTTTTATTAACACAGCAGTGAAAACATGAAGTAGCTGGGTGCTATGGTATCTGTTTTTGACTCAGAAATACCTTCCTAACCAACTTTAAAGTATAGGTTGTATTTAGAGGAAATATATTGCCTTATGATTGGAGTGAGAAATGTGCACTCTTTCTAGGAAACAACACTGCTGTTTTTACATTTTACCTACCATTGGAAAAACATAGGAGAACTTTAGACGCTTTGGTAGTGATGTTCTTTGCTACCCACATTTTTTTATTAGTGTGTATTAATTGTACAGTGTGAGGGGGTTTCCCGGTTATATTTCTATACATGCATATAATGTACTTTGATAATATTCACCTCCTCTATTATTCTTTCTTATTCCATATTCCCCAACTGTCCCCCCCTTTTTATCTCTCTTGCAATTTTTAAAATGATTTCATAATGACCTTTTCATACATGCATACAATACAATATACTTCAGTCATAATCTCCACCCCCTTGTACTCTATTTTCCCCTGACTCCTCCTCCAACAGTCTCTCATTTATATTCATGTCTATTTTTTCCTTTAGATCTAGCTTTGCATATGAGACAAAACATGTGGTATTTGTCTTTCTGAGTCTTGCTTATTTTGCTTAACATGATGTTCTCCAGTTCCATCCACTTTTTCCTGCAAATGATATAATTTCATTTCTCTTTTTGGCCACATTTTCTTTATTCATTCATCTGCTGATGGGGATCTAGGCAGATTCCATAAATTGGCTGTTGTGAACGTGCTGTGATAAACATGCATGTGCAGATCTCTACTGTGTACTGGCCTGCATTGCTTTGGGTTTCTGCCCACGAGTAGTACAGCAGGATCATCTGGAAGTTCTGCTTTTAGTTTTTTGGTGGTACTGGAGTTTGAACTCAGGGTCTCATGCTTGCTAGGCAGGCTTTCTATCACTTGAGCCACTCCTCCAGCTATTTTTTTTTTGAGGGACCTCCATACTGATTTCAATAGTAGTTACAATAATTTACATTCCCATCAACAGTGTGTAGGGTTCCTGTTTCTCTGCATCCTCACAAGAATTTTTTTGTTTGTTTTCTTGATTACAGCCATGATTATCACCCACTGACAGGGGTGAGATGGAATCTCAGTGTCATTTTGATTTGCATTTGCATTTTAGCTAAGGAAGTTGAAAATTTCTTCATGTATTTGTACTTCTTCTTTTGAGAATTGTGTTAATTTATTAATTGGGTTATTTGTTCATTTGTTTATTTTTTAAACTATATATTCTGAATATTAATTCATTGTAAGGTGAATAGTTGGCAAGGATTTTATCCCATTCTCTAGGCTCTCTCTTCAATCTGATAATTGTTTCCTTGGCTGTGCAGAACCTTTTTTAACTTGATGCAATCCCATTTGTCAATTCTTGCTTTTATTTACTGAGCAATTGGAGTCCTATTCAGAATGTTGTTGCCTGTGCCTCTATCTTCAAGTATTTTTCCAATATTTTTTTCTAGTAGTTTCACAGTTTTAGCTCTTACATTAAGGTCTTTGATACATTTTGAATTGATTTTTTGTACAGGGAGAGAAGTATGAATCTAGTTTCAATCTTCTACATGTGGATATCCAGTTTTCCCAATGCCATTTATTGAAGGGGCTGTCTTTTCTACAACATATGTTTTTGGCACCTTTGTCAAGAATCAGATGGCTGTGGGTGTGTAGGCTTATTTCTGGCTCTTATATTATATTCCATTGGTCTACATGTCTGTTTTTGTACCAAACCCCTGATGTCTTTGTTGCTATGGCTTTATATTATAATTTGAAGTCAGGAATTATGATATCCCCATCATTGCTCTTTTTCTCAGGATTGTTTTGGCTATTCAGGGTCTTTTGTACTTTCATATGAATTTTAGGATTCTTTTCCTAGTTCTTAAAGAATGGCATTGGAACTTTGATGGGGAATACAATCTGTAGATTGCTTTTGCCAGTATAGCCATTTTCAAAACATTAATTTTGCTGATCCATGAATATGAGGGATCTTTCCATCTTCTAGTGTTGTCTTCAATTTCTTTCTTTAAGGTTTTATAGTTTTCATTATAGAGGTCTTTCACATACATTCCTAGGTATTTATTTTTTTGATGCTCTGTGAATGGGGATGTTTTCCTGAATTGTTTCTTTTGCCTTATTGTTCTAAGAATTCAAGCACTATATTGACTAAGAGTGGAGAGAGTGGACACCTTTGTCTTGCTCCTGACTATAGAAGGAAGGATTTCATGTTTTCCTCAGTTAGTACAATTTTGGGTGTAGGTTTGTCATATATAGCCTTTCTTATGTTGAACTATGTTCATTCTAGTCCTACTTTCTTCGGAGCTTTGGTCATGAAGGGATGTTTGATTTTGTCGTAGCCTTTTTCTGCATCTGTTGAGATAATGTATTTTTTTTTCCTTGAGCCTATTCATATTCTCTACTATGTCTATTGATTGTATGTGTTGAATCATCTTTGCATTCCTGAAATGAAATCAACTTGATCATGGCATATAATATTTTATTGTGTTGTTAAATTTGGTTTGCAAGCATTTTCTTGAGAATTTTTACATCTGTGTTCAACAAGGAGATTTTCACAGTTTTTTTTTGTTGTTATATCCTTATCAGTTATTGCATTAGAGTAATATCAGCCTCATAGAATTAATTTGGTAGTATTCCTTCCCTTTCTATATTACATGATAATTTGAGTAACATTGGTGTTAGTTCTTTAAAGGTCAGGTAGAATTCATCCAGTACTGGGCTTTTATTTTATCTGGGAAACTCTATTACTGTTTCACTCTTATTGTTCATGATAGATCTATTTAAGTAGTTTATACGCTCTTGGTTCAATTTTTGTACATCAAGTATAGCTAAATATTTATGCATTTACTTAAGATTTTATAGTTAATTAGAATATAAAAATTTAAAACATTCCCTAATGATCCGTTGAATTTCATTGGTGTTTGTGATGATAGCCCCCTTTTCAACTTCAATTTTATTAATTTAGCAAGGAGCTTTACAGCCTGAGGATTTGGCTGAGTCCTACTTGCTTTACAGGCCCCCAGGGGAGCAAGCATCAGAACCTAGGTGTGTACTGTTGAATAATGTGTGTGTGTGTGTGTGTGTGTGTGTGTGTGTGTGAGAGAGAGAGAGAGAGAGAGAGAGAAAGAGAGAGAGAGAGAGAGAGAGAGAGTGAGAGAGAGAGAGAGAGAAGACAGAGCAGATCCCAAAGGTTGGTCTTGATACCAGATTTCACCCAGCAGTTCCTCAACCTGTAGGAGGGAGCAGTCTAGGGATAGCACATTGTTCTCAGGACTTGAGCTTTGAGCTCTCAGTCCTGCCTAGAAGCAAACATTCAGAGCACACAGATCCCTCCCAGAGGCTTGTCTTAGTATGTTCAGGCCCTGCCCAACAGTTCCCCACCCTGGGGGAAGGAGCACATGGTTCTTAGAACCTGTGCTCAGGGCTCTCAGTCCCACCTGACATCAAATATATGAGGCCAGCAGGCAGCTCCTAAAGGTCTAGCACTCTTGCCAGCCACAGGCTTGAAGCTCTATTTTCACAGTGATCCTTAAGCAGCAGGACATTCTCCTCACAGGGGAGGATGGGACCACTGGCCACCATACCCTTCACTATTTACGTTTCCTGCTTCTTGAACCTCTCAGAGGGCCCACATCAGACCTTCTCCTTCTCTATGACCACCTTGTATGGCCATCTCCCACCCAGACACCATGGCATGGTGTCTCAATAGTCCCTGAGCCTTGATTGTTACTTGTTTTTGAATCCCTAGAGTAGCTCAGTCTCAAACAATAACCCCTTCTCAATATGGCACCTCATTATAGTTTTCTATATGGGGAGCGAAAAAGCTGTTCTTATTCTCATATTCTAGCCTGTTACACAGGTGAAGTCACTGTCACACCAAATCCTCACACTGGGTTGAAGGCTTGGGGAAGTATGGGCTTGTCCTACTGCTAGGTCTGCCTGTCTGTCAACAAGGCCACCCAGCTTGCTTTGCGTTGGAGGTTTCAGCCTCCCCTCTTCCCTGGATGCTGGGGCTGGAGATGCAGACTGTCTCCTAATTTATTCTTTCATCTTTCTGTTTCTCCCTGTTCTGTTTTCTTATGTGGTTCCTGTGTTCTTTCTCTCTTTTTTTCTTCAAAATATAATCTTTCCTTTGTTACCCTGAGTGTTCTCATTCATGAAGTCAAATGGAGAAAGTTTTTACTCCACCATCTTGCCCTGCTGTTTGTATTTACCACTTATTTTATTTCCTCACTCATCTATAGCTCATTACTTCTTTTTCCGTAATTTCTTGACTGTAAATGATTATAATAAACTATGAATATTATTTAACGCGGTTTCCATATTAACTTTTTTTTCCAAAAAAGGATTATAATAG